CTTGACTGTTAACCAGAAGGCTGGTGGTTCAAACCCACCAGCCACTCCTTGGAAGGAAGATGGGGGCAATCTACTTCGGTAGTGATACTGTCTTGGAAACCCAAGGAGGGGTCGCTATGAGTTGGGTCCGACTCAAGGGCCCATAACAACAACAACAGCCTTTGTGTCTGGCAAAGCAAAAGCACTTGGTCCATGGTGGCTGTTAGTATGACAATTTCTGTGGGATGTACATATCAGATATTTTCCACTGGAATAGTTACTTATAATCTAAATAACTGTACATCTGAACTGATCTGGCAAATACTAAATCTTGCAAAAAAATTTATTGCGTCAAAATGCATTGGTGTCGCTTTTGGTAAAGTTGGCAAAATAGGATAACTGGTGCCATCTAGTGTCATAAAAGCAATATTACATGCTAACATTTCAACCCCAAAATGAATAAATATGGTAACACAAACGGATAAGTGTTGTAATATTGGCCACGGGGATAGTGGTTCAAACCTGTGCAGAGGCACCGTGAAAGACAGGCTTGGTGATCTACTTCTGAAAGAGCGTAGGCTTGAAAACCTAGAAAGCAGTTCTCTGCACACACGGGGTTGCCATGAGTCAGGATATATTTGGAGGCAACTAACATATATGCCGCTTTACATAGATGGTGTCTATCAAAGTTTCATGTAAATAAACTTTATGTTATTATTTAATGTCAGATATTAAGTATTATAATTTATTGTAATTCTTTTAATATAGTTTCCTTAAAGATTTCAGCACCTAAGTAATTTGTTTAGCTTTATGTTAAAATAATTCTCTATTTTTATATTATTTTATGTAGCTGTGAACTTCATAATTTACCTAGTACTTTATAGGTTTTTAACATATTTATATTACAATAATAAAACATGATACGGTTTTATTGCTATTCTCTGAAGTAGAATTGAAGAACTTACTGATGAATTTCAAAGGCTACAGCCTTCAATATGAATTACATTTCAGTATAAAGCAAAAATCCTCACAACTGGAGCAATAAGCAACATCATGATAAATGGAGAAAAGATAACTGAAGTTGTCAAGAATTTATTTTTACTTGGATCCACAATCAATGTTCATGCAAGTAGCAGTCAAGAAGGCAAATGATATATTGTATTGGCCAAATCTGCTGCAAAAGATCTCTTCACAGTGTTTAAGAGCAAATATGTTACTTTGAAGACTAAGGTGAACCTGACCCAAGCCATGGCATTTTCAGTAGCCTCACATGCATATGAGAGCTGAACAACTAATAAAGAAGACTGCAGAAAAATTGACACATTTGAATTGCAGTGTTGGTGAAGAATATTGAATGTATCATGGTTGGCTAGAATAATGAAAAACTCTGTCTTGGACGAAATACAGCTGGAGTGCTCCTTAGAAGTGAGATGGCCAGACTTCATGTCTGGTATTTTGGTCATTTTGTCAGGAGGGACCAATCGCTAAAGAAGAATATCATACTTAGTAAATTAGAGAGTCAGTGAAGAAGGGGAAGACCCTCAAAAAGAAAGATTAATACAGTGGCTGCAACAATGGGTCACTCACAGCAATGATTGTGAGGATGCCGCAGGATGAGACAGTGTTTCGTTCTGTTGTACATAGGATCAGGATGAATTGGAACAGATGACACTTAACAACAACTTAAAAAATATATTTAAATGTATCAAAAAATCTAAACTCACTGTCATTGAGTTGATTCTGACTTATAGCAATGCCCATTGAGTTTCCAAGAATGTAAAACTTGCAGACTGCCTTATCTTTCTTCTGTGGAGGGTTTGGTGGGTTTGAACCACTGACCTTTGGTTAGCAGTCAAATGTCTTTAACCTCTATGTCACCAGAGCTCCTTACTTAAAGGTGTAAAACCAAAAAACCAAAACCCACTGCTAGTGAATCGATTCCAACTCATAGTGACCCCCATTGAGTTTCTGAGGAGGTAAATCTTTACAGAAGTAGGTTGTCCCGTCTTCCTTCTGCTGAGTGGCTGGTGGGATTGAACCATCAACTTTCTGGTTGGCAGTCAAATGCCTTAGGCACTGCACTGCCAGAGCTCCTTTTAAAGATATGTTGTTGTTATGTGCTGTGGAGTCAGCCCTGACTCATAGCGACCCCTCCTTGGGTTTCCAAGGCAGTTATCACTATAGAAGTTGATTGCCCAACCTTCATTCCAAGGAGTGGCTGGTGGGTTTGAACCACCAGCCTTCTGGTTAGCAATCAAGTGCCGTAGGCACTATGCTATCAGAGCTCCTAAACCAAATTCACTGCCATCGAGTCAATTCTTTCAGAGTGACCCCTCCTTGGGTTTCCAAGGCAATATCTGTATGGAGGTAGATTGCCCCCTTTTCCTATGGAGGAGTTTAAAGCAAACATTTTATCTTGCTTGTTGTCTAAGAGGGAGATTAAGTTTCTAACAGGGCTTCCAGTTGTAATTTCTCACCCTCTGGTTGGCATTCTGGTTCACCCACATTTTAAAAATCCTAGTCCTTTCTGATGTCACTTTAGTGACTGTGACTTAACTAAGTTGAACCAGTTCAGAGCCCTCACTGCCCTGGAGGAACCACACCTGCACATGGTCATGATTTAGATAAAACTTTCAGGGTTCTTCAAAGGACTGAATGCTTTGTGCATGTGGGAGTAATGTAAATAATATGTTGGGGAAAAATATGACAGATTAAAGGTGGCTGCAAATTATTTGACACTTTCCCATTGAGAAACCAAAAGAAAAGAAAAAAAAGAAAGAAAAGCACAAGCAGCTGTTGTCAAGGTAATACTGACTCCAGGCCACTCTGTGTGTCAGATACAGATTGCCAAGCTTTTCTTCCAAGGGGCCTCTGGGTGGACTTGAACCACCAACCTTTCAGTTGGCAGCCAAGTGCTTAACTGTTTGTATCATCCAGGGAAACCTCCTATTGAGAGATGGGATCAATTTTCCATCCATTTGATCCTGGGAGCTCTGGTGGCATAGTGCCTAAGGCATTTGACTGTTAACCAGCAGGCTGGCGGTTCAAACCCACCAGTCACTCCTCACAAGGAAGGTTGGGCAATCTACTTCTGTAATGATACCTCCTTGCCTCAGAAACCCAAGGAGGGGTCACTATGAGTCACGCTCAACTCCATGGCAGTGAGTTTGGTTTATTTTTTGCTTTGATTCTGGTGTGGGTTATGACTGCTTTGACAATGGAGTGCAGTGGAAGTGATACTACATTAATTCCAGATCAACCTTTAGTAGGACTGGCAGCTTCTGCCTTTGTCTCTTGGAGTTGAGAGCTGGCATGTAGGAATTCTGACTACTCTGCTCAAGAGACCACTTGGAGAGAGGCCTCAGAATGTCTGGTAATTGAGTGTGTGTCATTAATTTTAGAACATATAACCACTATTGTATGAAAATAAAACTGATTATTTGTAAAAGTGATAAAGAACCTAGTGTCCTTTGTTCAAGAAACAGATAACTGGTTTTGTTGTTGGTAATATTTAGTTGTCATCATTATTTTAGCTGTTATTTTATGGTTTGTCCATAAAAGCCACCTGCAAAATAAATTAACCAGATTTTTCACTAATAAGTCAGGTTGAGATGTTTCACTTCTGTAAACAGGAGAAATAGGTGGGCTTCTTTGTGCCTGTTCAGACTTGGATGTCCTCAGTTCCCAAGGGAGAACTTCCTGTATGGCAGGAAGGGGCTGGGAAATGTATTAGCATACATGTTATTAATTGTAATTATTAAATACTTTTTAGTAGGGAAAAGTATGTCATATGTTTTGCTAGCCCCTAGTTATTTTGCATTGAAAATGTATATTTGGTGCAGCTAGTAGCAACCACCACAACCACTCTGCTCACTACTTCTTTTAGTTTATGAACATGAAGGCGTGGCAATTGTGCTGTCTCACAACAGGGGTCCCAATGACTCTGGTCCTGGCATAATTGTACACAGACACTTATTAATAAACCAAAATATTTAAACTAAGTGTGCTCTCTCTGTTTGTTGAAAAGTTACTGGGTTGAATGAGATAAGGCATCTATTTGGAGAGGAAGGAGAGGTAGGACATGAAAGGATATTTTTCATGCATAATTAAACCTAGAGTTATGTGTTCATTTCATTTACTCCTTGCATTGACCAGTTCTGGGCTTCACTTTTATTTTTTTTAACCTCAGTACTCTCAACTTCAATCTATAAATCCTTTTCGGAGTGGAGTGCAGAGGAAGAGTGGGAAGTTAGGTGGAATCTTGCTGTAGTTTTCGCCTTCTCTCTGTAAATTATATTTAGAAGAATTAAGGGAAACAAACACCTATCTGGACAGACCCAGATAGACGCTGGGGAAGGAGTGGGAAGATCTGACCCACACACATTGGAAGCCCAGAGAGAGGTAGCGGGAAGACCCTCAGAGGCAGACTGGCCTGAGGCCAAAGCTCGGGTCACTGGATTATGAAATCTGGCCCCTGCCAGGGAGAAAGGGAAAACTCGCGCTTTTCCAGAGGCCGGGTGCCTGGTAAAGCCGAACAAGGAAAGAAGGGAGAGAGGCGGGGCGGGTGGAGGTCAGGAGCGCCGGCGGGAGTTTGGAGAAGGGGCGCGGGAGCCCAGCTGCAGGCCCAGTCAGTGGAGCCAGAGGAAAGGGCGTGCGCAGAGGCGGCGGGAGGCGTAGTCCCGCGCGCTGGGATCTTGCGGGTCAGGGGCAGCAGGAGGATCTGGAGCGGGACGGAGTGCAGGGCGCTCTGCGAGCCGCCGCGCCCATGGGTCGAGCAGACCCGGCAGGAAGCGGCCAGGGCCGCATCGCTCGAAGCTTGCGGTTCCCAGGCCCGGCTAGGCAGCGAGTGCAGGGCTCACGGGGTTAGGCGCGCAGGGCTGGGCCGGCGGGAAGCCGAGCCACGGGGGCGTCCGGCCACCAGCTGCCTGCGTGGGGCCCGCGCAGAGTGTCCCCGCCCGGTGGCGCCCAGGCCTCGTCGCGCAGAATGGAGCCGGAGGGACGGGAGCCAAAACCTGGGCCTGATTGTGATTGGGTAAGTCCTGATCGGAGAAGGAGTGGTGGCATAATCAGAGAAGTCATAATATTTGTAGGATGTGCTGCGTGATTGTTTCTTGCCTGCAAGCCAGAATACTTAAGGTCTGTGTTTCTGTGCATCCATTCATGAAATCTTGCGTGCTGACATCATCGGCCTTGCTTCAAGTGAAGTTACTCACTTGCTCTGAGAAGCGTTCAAGATGTCTGAGATGACTTCGCCATCAGTCCTGATACCCTCAGTTGCTTGTGTGACATGTTTGTATTAACTCAGGTCGATGCGAGTGGTGTATGAGAATAGCAACATCCTAGTGGTCACTCTTGAGTGCCTGCGGTCCTATATGCCTCACAGTCTGGAAACCCGCCCTTATTTCAGCCCCTTCTGATTACAGTGCTCACAGTATCAGGGTTTCCTTTCAAGCAGAAATGCAAAATTTTGAAAACTGTGGTGATGGTTTATTATTTGAATTGGTGTAGGGCAAAGTGGCAGAGGGTTATGGTGATCAAGAGGCAATAAAAAGTAAAAACTATTTCCCTAATAAGAAAGGAGTGGTTCATGGAGAGTGGAAGTCACCCTTAGCTTTGATGCACCGGAAGAGTAGCGTGAGGTACTTCAGTGGTTGCATCTTTAGTCTACAATTAAGGGAATCTAGGTTCCATAGTGATACCGCCTCAGAAACCCAAAGAGGGGTCGCCATGAGGCTGATCCGACTCCAAGGCAGTGACTTTGTTTTTTTTTTTTTAAATCCCGTCTCCAAGGATCTCTGGTAGCACAGTGCCTAAGGCATTTGATTGCTAACCAGAAAGTTGGTGGTTCAAACCCAATAGCCACTCTGTGGAAGCAAGATTGGGCAATTTACTTCTGCAAAGATTTACTGCCTCAGAAACCTAATGGGGGTTGCTATGAGTTAGAATCAACTAGATGGCAGTGGTTTTTTTTTTTTTTTTTTTTTTTGTTGTTGTTTAGAACCTATCCCCAAACAAACAGCCTTCAATGAGGTGACATGCAATTTTTAATCTCCTCAAAAATTTAAGCCACATTGACATGAACTTGTATAAAGCTGTTATATGTCTATACTTTATGTAAAATAAAATAAGCTCAATAGACGTTACACCACGTGGAAGCTTTTATGAAGTATTTATAGGATCCATCTTGTAGTTTTGAATGCTTTCTTAGACTGTATAGATTATGTAGGAATTGATAGTGTACAGGGAATTAAATATTCAGCATTACACATGAAATAATAGCATAGTGCTTGGTTACAAGGTAGAGAAATGAAAGGACCAAAACAAGATGTTACAAATTAAAAAAGAAAGAGAAAGTTAATTTCATTAATTCTCTTTTAAATTCACAATGTCAGTCACATGTGGTCCCTGAAGAGGCAAGCAGGTTAGGTGACCTGTGTTCTATTCCTAACTTCTTTGTGACCTTGGGCTGTCATTGAGTTTTGGGGTTCTATTTTTTTCTTCACCTAGTTTCTTTGGTATTGCTCTGAATTCTATGGGAAAATCTATGTGCTATAATACTGAATTATGAAGTCCAGCAAGTGCACAGAAATAAAGAAAATTTGAAAGCATATGAGAAAAAAGTTGGGAAAAAGGTATGGAAATAAATGGAGTTCTAAGGTTTCAGTTTTATAGTAATTTCTGTGAGCACTACAGAGCTTCCCATTTCTCTGCCTGCATCTTCAAGACTTCCTGCTTTCAGTTACACGTTGGAAGTGAGTGTGGATGCTGATCTTGGAAGGGATATGGTATAATTTGAAGATGAGATTTAGTCAGTCCATTTGGAAATAATTTTCTTCTTAGGTTGAAAGTACATCCCCCCCCTCCCCTCCACACATATACCTTTCAAAATAAGGATGGATTTTATAGCTCAGTGAAAACGAAACAAACAAACTGGCATGAATCTGAAGAGTGAATTTAGCTTTCAAGTTGCACAAAGAGCAGAGGAGGAGAAAGAGGTAAGAGAGGTAGAAAGGAGCGAAGCAGAGACCCCATTTGGTTGTGGAAATCATCCTTGGCAATATCAGTTACTCTCAGAAGAGCTGTGAATTTTCATTCTTGGAAAAGCATAAAAACTTATCCAGCAATGTCTTGAATTTTAGGAATGTTTTAATGTCAGCTCACAAAGTAAAATTTTGTTTAAGGACAGATATTCAGAGAAAGTATAGGGTAGAAACGTGTTCTGTGTTTGAATTACTAATTTAATTTTTGACTATTAATTCTTTCAACAAACATTGAGTATTTCTTATATAACAAGATTATTTTAGGTGCTACATTTTTAAAAATATCAAGATCATCACAATCAAATATTGAAGTGTGAAAAGAGATTTATAGAATACAAAAACCCATGGACCTATTATGATGGCTAAAATCCAAAACAATTATAAGTCCGAATGCTGACAATGATGTGGAGCAACAGGAACTTTCATCCATTGCTCACAGGAATGCAAAATGCTATAGCCACTTTGGAAGGCAATTAGGAAGCTTATTAAACAAAGGCTTGCCATATAACCCAGTGAAACTATTTTGCAAGACAGCTTAATGGTAGGCACATGACATTATGAATGGCAAAACCCAAAACCTAAGACTGTACAACACAAATTGTAAGCCCCAATGCAAACTAACAACTTTAGTTAATAATATAACAATATTGATCCATCAGTTGTAACAAATGTATCACGGGAATGCAAGACGTCAGTAGGAGAGATAGCATGCAGGAGGGAAATACATGGAAACTTCCTGTACTTTCTTCACAGTTTTTCTGTGAAACCAGAAACAGCTCTAAAAAATAAAGTATTTTAAAACAGAAACAAAAATGCTATGGGAGGAAGAAAATAAGAAACATCTAGAACACATAGATGTTTTCATAGACCAGCATTAATGATGCTAATAGCAGTGACCAAGAAGGCCCTAATTTACCTACCATTGATTATATAACAGGTCCTATTACATAATTTATCTATATTAATTCCCAACAAAGTTGACAGTATTGTCATTGTTCTATAGATGTGGAAACTGAGTTTCAGAGGAGAAATAACTTGCCCAAAGCACACAGCCAATCAGTGGCACAGCTAAATTCTAATCTATTGTTGTTATTATGTCAATATTACACAGGAACAATATTTTGGTGAACACATCTGCCTGAATTCTAAAATTATTTCCTAATAAAAAACAAATTAATCATAAATTGGAATGTATTTCTCAATGTTCAAAGCATATCTATTTGATCCAATTTTCAGTTGATTATTTATCCTATGCTGGATATATTTTTATGTTTACCAAAGCAGTTACTGTTGAATCACATGTAAATTATGAATAACTGATGGTTTGAAATAACAAAACAGGTAAAGGTAAAGCAGTTTCTTAGCATGAAGGCTTCTCCTATATTCTTTTCTTTGATACCCTTTCTGTAACACATTTAGCCTCAGAATTGCCTGGTTGTACTTAAGACAACCCAGGTGTCCATCAACAGAAGAATGGATAAACAAACTATCGTACATACACACAATGGAATACTGTGCAGCACTAAAAAATAATGTAGAATCTATAAAACACTGCATAACATGAATGAACTTGGAGGATGTTGTGCTGAATAAAGTAAGTCTATCACAAGAGGACAAATATTGTATTAGTTCTTTATTGTAAAAAGTCAAGGAAAGGTTTATATATGGAAGAAAGCTTTGTTGATTACCAGGGCTGGGAGTGGAGGGAAGGGAACACTGCACAAAATTTAAAAAAAAAAAAAAGAAGTGAGCAATAAGAAGAGGCAAAAAAATAATATATTTCTATTATTCTTTTTTATACAAACATATCTATGTAAGGCAGAAGTTCTCAATAACCTCTGTTCATAGTAACTAATTTCTTTTTAAAAATTGCCTTTATTTGTACTTCAGTGTATAATTATTCTCTTGTGTTAATAGTGTTTAAAACTCCATTTATACAAAAATACAAATGTTGAAAATTAGGTACCATTTTAATTGAAAGCAAAAGCAATTTTTTTTGTTGTTGTTGTTAAATGCATGCTAGTATGGTGTTCTTAGAAATAGTTGAAAGGTTTTTTTTTCCCTTCTATTTTGCTACCTTATCTTAAGTCAGTATACATTTTATTTGTGTGGGAAATATAGCTATTAAAAGAATAGAATTTTTTTACTGTTAAACATTAGGAAGGTATTTTGGTTAAAGAGAAGCAAATGTTTTTAGAGGTTCATTGACAGGGCATTTTAATGATTAACATTAACTGGGCTACACCAGCTAGGTTTAAAGGTTTATTTTAAATTTAGAGATTTTTTTTATTTTAGCTCTCCATTAATAATATTAATGTTTTAAAACCCTCTTATGCTCAAGGTATACAAGAAACAATACAAACTAAAGTGAGTTAAATGTGTGGCTACAGTCATTTCTTTTTCGTGTTTAGTGATTCAAAGGAATTTTATATAATTCAGAATTCATAGGAGACTGACAGATTTTACATGAGGGCAGATTGGGTTTGGCAGATACAAAGTACAAGGGTGCCTAGTGACCAGGTGAGTGAGAACCAAAATTCAGCCTGTTTTTAACTTGCCAAGCTTCATGCCCACCTAGAGTTTTAGACAACTTGTCCTTTTCTGGTTAAGTTGTGTAACATTTCCAAAAAGCTTTTGTGCTTTGTTGTAATTCATGTAAAGGTGCATGTAAGTTCTTGATTCTAAGAAATATAAAAATGGCAAGAATTTAAGGCTCAGTTTCTTGAGGATATAAGTGTTGTGTGTGGTATATGTGTGTGTGTGTATTGTGTGAGTGTGAGTGTGGTGTATGTAGGGTGGTGTGTATTGTATGCGTGTGGTGGATGTGAGTGGGGTATAGGTGTGTGGTATCTGTATGTGTGTATACACTTAGGGTGACGTGGCAGAAGAAGAGCAACTTTATACAAAAATTTTTTTAAAAAGTATTAATGAATAAAATTGTATTATTGCATTAGAGAGTTTCTTTCTATGTTATTTTATTTTCCAGGAGAGGACTGTCAGAAGGCTCTAGAAAGCACAATTTTGCTGTAAAAGGCAAAGATCATCTACCTATACATTTTACAAGAAATGTGCAGAAAGCCATTGATAAATATACCTGGTAAGAATTACTCTGTTAAATGCTTCTGATTACAGAATTTTTTTTTTTTTTTGTTTGTTTTTTAAAGCACATAACTAATACGGCAGAAGCCTGGGTGATAGCTTTGGTGGTGCAGTACTTAAAGCATGCTCCTGTTAACTGAAAGTTTCGCAGTTTGATCCCACCAGCCTCTCTCCATAGGAGAAAGATGAGGCAGTCTTCTGTAAAGATTCACAGCCTTGGAAACCATATGGGGCAGTCCTACTCTGCCCTGTACAGTTACTTTGTGTCAGAATCAACTTCACAGCAACAGGTAATGTGGGAAGCACAATCGGTGACTGATCGTGAATTTCTACAATTGAAAAGTGATTTTATTCTCAGCCTGGTGAAAAGTGTACTCAGAAATATTTTAAAATTAGTGTACTGTGAAATTAACAAACAGGTTTAAAGAGAGAGAGAGTAAATGGATTCTGAGAAGTAAGCCAGTTACCACATAACCTCTTCCCAGCCAGCGTTACTCTTGTCCTCTTCTGTTTGTTCTGCAGTGAATCGGTGTCATCATTTTCATCCACCGGAACCAGCACGCCCACAGAGGCACCCAACTCTTGGTCCGGGACACAGAGTTCCACCACTGGGTTATCTACAGAAAGGAGCTCAGTGTACTCTTGGAGAGATGATGTATGCCCAGAATGTTTGGGATAATCCTGTGATTATTACTTTTTTTTGTTTTTTTTAATTGTGATTTGGGTGAAAGTTTACAGAGCAAATTCACTTTCCATACAGTAGTTCACATACTTTGTCTCATGACATTGACTATAATTTACCACGGAGCAACAGCTCCCCTCTCACTTCCTCCCACTAGTTACCTTTTCCTTATGTCCATCCCTCCATGCACTCCTGCCCCCTGAGCTGTCTCCCTGTGCATAAACAGCCCTTCTCTCTCCCATGATTGTTCTCTCCAAGGAGTGTATCTACTGCAGGTAAATGTTCAACTCATATGACTATCTTTCTTTGGTTGTAAGCCACACATGTGGGTTCAATTCCAGACCTGAAGGGCAGCTAGGGGCCATAGTCTCAGGGGTTCCACCAGGCTCTATCAGACCAGCAAACCTGGTCCCCCACCTTTTTTTTCCCCAAAATGATTTTTAGTTTTGTTCCACATTGTTCTCCCACTCTATCCAGGCTCTCCTACGTAGACACCCTCCAAATGGTTGAGAGTGGTAGCCGGGAGCCATCCAGTGCTTCTGGTCTCATTGTCATATAGGCTGTGGATCGCATGGTGATTCTAAGAAATATAAAAATGGCAAGAACTTAAGGCTCAGTTTCTTGAGGATATAAGTTTTGGGTGACTAGGACTAATTGTTTCCATGGATCTTTGGTTTTCTTCATTCTTCTTTGCTCTGGATGGGGAGAGACCCATCGTTGCATCTAGATGAATGCTTGGAAGCTTTCAAGATCCCAGTTGCTACTCCCCAAAGTAGGAGGTGGAACAATGTTTTGTGTAGTATGTTATGCCAATTGAGCTTGATATCCCTTGAGACTATGGTCCTGAGCCCACAGGTTCAACTACTCACTCCCTCTGGGTAGCTGCCTGTGACCAAGAAGTGACTACAACCTTGTCCCTTGTCACTTCTACTATACACCTGGGAATTCTTCCAGAACATACAAATACACTTGTAGAACCATTGTCTGCCAACACTATACATGATTTTGGGTACACTTCCCAGTACATGTGTTGCTATGTGCCATCGAGTCAGATCTGATTCATAGCAACCCCCTGCTTGGGTTGCCAAGGCATATCACTACGGAAGTAGATTACCCAACCTTCCTTCCAAGGAGTGGCTGGTGGGTTTGAACCGCCAGCCTTCTGGTTAGCAGTTAAGTGCCTTAGGCACTATGCTACCAGAGCTCCAGTACATAGAAATACCTAATAGTTCAGCCTGTCCACCCATATACCCATGTTTGCCTTCACTGACAATTTAGTACTGTATATGCAAAAGGGTTCATCTTTGTTGTCTGCACCTCCCATGTCCCTCTCTATGTCTTCCTCTTCCTCAATGCCAGCGTGTTGATCACTCACATTTGGTACGTTGCCCTTCTCTTCACCCAAATCAATACTTAGCTCTACCTATCTAACAGTGTTCCCTCCCCACCCCTCCCATCCCTGGTAACCAACAAAGAAAATTTCCTTCCATATATACACCTTTCCTTGACTTTTACAATAACTAATACAATATTTGTCCTTCTGTGATTGACTTATTTCACTCAGCATAATGTCATTCAAGTTCAATGTGATTATTGCTTTTATGAAGAATTGCTTTCTTATTTTTAACAACTCTTTTTACCAATTATAAAAGCAATAAATATTTACAAATGTTTTAAAAATAGAGGAAAAAAAGGGGAAAAAATCATAATCCTATAAACCCATGTTTTGCTGTTGATAGTCTTAATTTTTTTTCCTCCTTCCAGCTCCCCCAAGTATTTTATATATGATTTCTTGCTAACCAAAAGGCTGGCGGTTCAAATCCACCAGCCGCTCCTCAGAAGGAAGACTGGGCAAATCCACCTCAAAGGCCCAAGGAGGGGTTGCTATGAGTCAGATTCGACTCTACGGCAGTGAGTTTGGTTTGGTTTGGTTGTGTGATTTCTATTGTTGGAAATTCAGGATATTGTTGTTAGTTGCTGTTGAGTCAATTCCAACTCATGGACATTCAGGATAGACCTCACAGGAACTCTAATAAGAGAGTTTCTGGAAAAGTAAAAAGCATGAAAAACCACCATTGAGTTTTCTGCCAGTAGTCTAAAACCAGATATCCTACTTTCACTTTCTCATTCAGCTGAATCTATTTAGCTTTAACCCCTCTTTTGTTTCTTGAGGGAGTAGGATCCTTACCTGGGTGAGCTTTAGTCTACAACTCATACTTTTGTTAGGAACTCTGCTGATCCCACAGTCTCCTTTCTCTTTATCCAGGCACGTTTTCCTGAAAATCCTGGAACACCGCATTTTGTTGAGCCCATTTGGCTATGGAAGAGCTCCTTACTCACTGCCATTGAGTTGATCCTGACTCATAGTGACCCTTCCTTGGGTTTCTAAGGCAGTATCATTAGGGAAGTAGATTGCCTAATCTTCCTTCCAAGGAGTGGTTGGTGGGTTTGAACTACTAGCCTTCTCGCTAGCATTCATATGCCTTAGGCACAATGCCACCAGAGCCCCTAGGACAGCAAAATGTTCTATTTTAGCTCTTCATTTGCATTCTGCTTTTCTTTGCTTTCTTTGAAATCAGCCTCCACTCCTTAGTCCACGTGGGTCTACTTGTAGTTTGTAACAGTGATTCTCAGTGGTTTTAAAGGGGGGCTGGAAGGAGGTCAGTTCAAAACTACTCAGAGCATATTTTTTCATGATATGTGACTTCCTCACTTGTGACAAACTGCCCTCTATTCCCTGCCGTCAGCCTCACTCAGGGCCACCTCCACTCACACCTTTTTTCCTCAGGGATATTCCAGTGGGAAGAAGAATGAGAACTATTAATTCACTCTCTCCGAAATCTAGAATTCTTTTATATAATTACTTAAGGAGATTCTTATGACTTGCTTTACAGCATTTAAAATACGCCATATAATCACAATTGCTTTTAATTTTAATTTACTTTTTGATAGGTAATATTAAAAAAACCAAAATGCTAAAGGTAGAGAAATCAAAGCAAAGCATTTTCCATACCCCAGCCACCAAGTTACCTCTAGGACCCACATAGAGTTGTTGGTTGTTCCCCTTATTTGCATTTTAAGAGATGATTCAACTCCTCTGTAGCCTGGGAAGTCAGTTTATTCTCAATTTGAGGGAAAAACGTAGCATAGGAAATACTGTAAAACATTACTGTGAAAATTAGCCTGCATTGCCCATTTTAGATCAGGTACGTCAGACTGAATATTCAATTACTTGTTTTGAGATGTGGAGTAGATTTCAGGTTCCATGCCACTGGAAGAAAGGTTAACTAGAGTTCTTCTTAACCTGGAGCAAGCTTGTTTGGTGTTGGTTCTCCCAATCGTAGTAATGTTTGTGTTCTCCTCATTGGCTGTGACTTTCCTGAAAGCCTTGTTAAGACCGTTCCCTTTCAGCCAAGAAGAACATCTAGAAAGAGTGAAAGGTTTTCTCATTCTCAGTTCACTGCAGCTGCAAGGCAAGAGCCTCTTGAGTCCTGACAAGAAAAATTAGTACTCTGGCTTCATCCCAATTATGAAGCTATCACTTATGAATTAAAACTTAATGTATATATTATATTTTTCATTTATTAATATGTATAAATTAATAATTTTCATAAGTGTTAAACAATTTGAAGTTAATAAGATAGCTGAGGATTGGTTTTCTCATTGATTAATAGAAGGTAAATGGCCCTTTCTACAAAAGTAATTACCTTTTCAATAGTATTATCAGAACTAAAAAAAAAAAAAAAACACCTTGAATTGGGCAGGCACCACTATAGGAAGGACATATGTGTATATGTGTATGTGTAGATATGTGTGTGTATGACTCACAGATCATGTGGTAGAAATTACCTCTTTTTGTCAATTAAAGAAAGTAAGCCTCAGAAGAGGCTGACCACTGATTGTAAAGTCCATGTCCTTTTCATCATGTCATACTCCTTCCTATAGAATGGATTACTTTAGAAATATAAGCATAATTGATTGTGAAGCCCATATTTCTATAACGTGTGGTCCGGTGGCTAAAATATGCGTTTATATGCGTTTCTGTTTTAGGAGTTTGACAAAGACAATGCACAGAAGGTGCAGCAGTTATTCTGGGAGGTTGAGGAAATGTTATTTGAAGGGAAAGTAAGTGCTCAGACCCAGAATCTACTGGCCGAATGCAGTGAGTGGGCCAGAAGATCCCTCCACCTGAGGTAGGGAAATGGTTAATAGTAATTCTCTGAAATGGGTTTTGAACCACCCGCTCCTTACTTGGATTTATAATCAATACATTTTGACCGACAGCACATGCCCAGTCACAATATGTACACAGAACACATGCTCTTTACTGAGAAATCACATCCTTTGTTAGGGTATCTGAAGAAACATTTCAATACTCAAGATCATTTTAATTGTGAGAAGCAAATGTAGCTCATCCTCTAAATGACATCACATATGTAATATATGCAAGAACAAGAGAATTAATTCTTCATCTCCATGTTCACTAGCATATGAGCAACATGTGCCTGTCCTCAGAGTTGAGAACAGTTTGGGGCAGAATGATTGGCTCGATGAATCTTATCTTCCATATGTAGAAAACACAATTTATGATCCTTACGTAGGGAGATTCTTTATTTTATTTTTGATACCAAAGACAGAGAATATGGAGTTGGTATGAAGGGAAGCTTTTCTTTCTCAGTTCACTTAACCAGCCTTTTCCAACTGCCATCAAGTCGATTTCAACTCATAGTGAGGTGATAGCCAGCCTACTTAGGAGAAGATCCATCTCAGCTGTCTGAAGTTTCTCTATCTTATATTTGGGTGAATAAATTAAAATACTTATACAAATGTGGATGGATTATATAGTTGGTGACCTCAACTGGATAACTTTTTTTTTTTTTTTTTTGTCTTAACTAAGTTATTTCTGTTCTTTTTCATCCTGCCATGAACTCTCTACCTTAAAGAAAATGGCATGTTCAGGGGTTGTTCATTGTGAGTGCTTATTCTTCTAGGAATGATGCACTTACCAAAATGCCAGGAATCAGACCTGTCCTGTCAGTGTTGTCTTATGTAGTAAAGACAAAAATGAAAGAGGTGAAGGTGAAAAAGAAAAGACCACAAGATGTATAAGCCCAGCATACACATTAGTATCCTTTACTTCATTATGCATAGGAGTTCCAGTGGTGCTGTGGCTAAGGCATTCAGCTACTAACCAAAAGATCGGCTGTTTGAACCCACTAGCCACTCGCTTCTTTAAAGATTTACAGCCTTGGAAATACTATGGGGTCACTATGAGTCAGAATTGACTCAATGGCAGTAGATTTGGTTTCTTGGGTTTCATTAAGTATAATATTAGGTAACATTTATAGGGAGCTTTTAAGTAGTCAGTTTGCCCTAGACGTGTGACATACGTTATGCACCGCCCCCCCCAAAATGCCTTCAAGTTCATTCCAACGCCTAGCGACCCTTTAGGATAGAGTAGAACTGCCCCATAGGGTTTCCAAGCCTGTAAATCTTTAGGGAAGCAGATTGCCTCATCTTTCTCCTACGGAGTTGCTGGTAGGTTCATCCACCAACCTTTTGGTTAGCAGCTCAATGCTTTAAGCACTATTCAACCAGAGCTCCTTATGTCCCACCAGGTGACCAAGTAACTATTATTTCATTTTGCAGAAAAAAACTAAAACAAGTGAAAATAGTGGTTGAGAGAAGCAGAGAACTTTGCCTATAGTCAGTCAGTTTTAGGAACAGTGTTGGTAACAGGTCTGTACACCTCCCACAAAGCCCGTACTTTCTCAGTGACACCATCAACCTCTCATGTACCCGTACACACCTTATCACACCACACACACACCATCAGAATCATTAATTTATCCTGCTTTTAAAATCTCAAAACATCTTTCCTTTTCCAGTAAGAAACATTAATAGTTTTTATATTTTTTTCATTTCTGTACCTTGCAGAGTATTAGGAAGACAGCTCATCCTGCCAACTGATGAAGGCTTCCAGCACTTCCGAGTCAGTGGGCCTAGCTCTGTAACCCACAAACCCTTACTTGAATCCTATGAATGTGGCAGCAACATCAGAGAGTATGTCTGTATAAATTGTTTATGAAAAGTATTTTAAACTGTATTTTAGTTATACCTTTTCATGTTTATCTCACCCATGATATCCTCTTCTCCACCTATTCAGAAACTTAGATTTGAATGAAAAACAAGTACAGAACATTTTTGTCACAAGCTGCTTTTAATTCTAAATTTATCATATACATACACACACACATATATACATATCTCTCTGACATTGAGTCTATTGTGACTCATAGAGTAGAGACCCCCATTGAATTTCCAAGGTGGAAGGAAGGTTGGGCAATCCTACTTCCGTAGTGATACTGCCTCGGAAACCCAAGGAGGGGTCGCTATGAGTCGGGTTTGACTCGACGGCACATAACAACAACAACAATCTTTATGGAAGTAGATTGCCCCATCTTCCTTCCACGGAGCGGCTGGTGGGTTTGAACCACCAATGTTTGGGTTAGTGGTCAAATGCCTTAGGCAGTGCACCACTAGAGCTCCTTGTACACACATACACACATGTATACAAATATATAATGAATGCATAGTGAATATATATACAAAAAAAAGCCTTTTCATTATGGGAATTGCAATCAATGTCATAAAATAATATGTATGAAGTGCTGTATGAAAAATGAATTTACTCTATAAATTTTCACCCAAATCACAATAAAAAAGATCAAACAAACAAACACAAGAAACACATTGCTGTCAGTAGATTCCAATTCATAGTGACCCTATAAGGTGGAGTAGAACTTCCCCATTGGGTTTTCAAGGCTGTAAATTTTCACGGGAGCCAATTGCCACATCTTTCTCCCACAGAGTTGTTGGTGGGTTTGAATTGCCAACTTTTTGGTTAGCAGCCAAGCACTTAACCATTGTGCCACCAGGGCTCCATAATACACACACACACACACACACACACACAAGTCTGTTTATTTGCATATACATGTGTATATTTATTTGCAAAAGAGTTAACTTCAACTTCTATTCCAAAGCCACTTTGAAAGCCAGGCTATGTGCAGAATCAGATCTGTTTCCTTGCGATGAATCTTTAGCCTCACGGCAGTAGCAGATGAAGAAAGGCTAAATCCCATTTACTTTTGTTTCCTAACAGATTTCAATAAATCTCCCTGTACTTTCACATATATTTGTCCCCTGATGTCCAGCACTTGAAAACGACTACAAACTCAGAATAATTTAGATTTTTAAGAATTTTAGCAATGTCTATCTCAAAATGTTTTTAAGGATATGGGTTTTGTCAACTGTAATATTCAATGATCTTCAGTTTGGAATTGTGCAATTTTTGCATAATTTAAAGGTCAGGCATTGTTATATTCTACAGCCTTACATGTAGAATCTGTTTCTCCCCATAGACTGTGCATCTCTGGCTCTCAAATCCTCCCAGCAGCACTCTCAGCTCCTGCCCTTCAGGGGGCTGAGGGCACTGGGATTGCTGACCTAGAAGCATGTTCACGCCTGGAAGAAGAGGTTTACGACGTGGATGGGAAGATTGAAGAGTATTTTGCTTTCGATGGAGAAGAAGAGTAAGTAGAATTTTGTTTGATATTTACTTACTAAAATAAAAGTAATATTAATTTATTGGGCATTTATTTTTATTAAATGCTCATTGATTCTTGTATGTATCTTGTACTTATACAGAAGCCTTTCCATTCTTTCAAACATAATGTGCTCCCAAAAGTCTTTAGGTTATCAGTGTATATTTTAGAGCAGTGCTTCTCTCCCTTTCTTTCAGAGTGAAAATCAGAATATGTGTTCCCCGTGTTGGTGGCAATGGGCAGTGCTACTACAGTAGAGCACTTGTGCCTAGGGGCTTCCGTGCACTATGCCTAGATTGCTCAAAGGGCAGAGAGAAGTTCCAGTCTCTACGATACTAAATGCATAGTTGGTTCTCAATCCTCAAATATTTTTCATAAAAATTTGCCCCATGAGTGAAAATTAGCACATTAAAAAAATAACAATTTTCTGACTGAAACAAGAATGTCATGTTTATCTACGTATATGAATGTATATACATGCATGTATATTATATAGTTACACTGGTAGATAGTATTATTTTAACTTTGACCGTGGATACTTTTAGTAATTAGAATGGGTCTTTATCCTTAGTGACGATGAATATCTTCAGCACAAAAAAGTTCACCGTGGTAGAAAATGGCATAAGCATGGACTTCCTCCCATCTCCCCTCATGACTGTATCAAAGATGCGGTGGCTGCAGAGGTGTTTGATCACATCTGGAGAGATATGGTAGAGCTTTTGAAAGAGCTGGTTAGAAAACACTGGAGAACTGTACTCTCAGGTACTTAAGTGTAGAATTTGGCATAACAAAAAGAAAACATAAATCCTCTTTCTCAGCTTTGTGGCATTTTGTCTGGGTCTTTACCCAGGACATGGTTGAGGTGAGAAAGGTTTTCTAATTAAAGATTCACAAAGTGATCTTCAGTCACTTCAAAAGGACATTATTGTTTTTTTGGATTACAAAACATAATACTATTCACTCTGGAAAATTTAAAAAACATAGAAATATATAACAAAGAAGACAGAAACCACTTCTCCCTTCTAGATATAATGATGTTAGCATTATATCTCCCAAACTTTTTAATAACATATATTTTAACATAATTGAGTTAAATTGTACATACCATTTTGTAACCTACTCTCCATTTTTTAAAAAATGTTGTTGTTGTGTGCCATCAAGTCGGCCTCGACTCATAGTGACCCCTTCTTGGGTTTCCAACATAGTATCACTACAGAAGTAGATTGCCCAACCTTCCTTGTGAGGAGTGGCTGGTGGGTTTGAACCACCAGACTTCTGGTTAGCAGTCAAGTGCCTTATGCATTATGCCACCAGAGCTCCCTTTAAAAAATTAGTATTTACTAAATATTCTTAAACAGAATTAAAAAAAAATACTGAATAGTATTATATCATAAATAAATTTATTGTAATTTACCTAACTAATCCCTAATAATGAGATATTTGTTTTTAGCTGTTCATGATAATTACTATTGCTATGAATAATATAAGGACATTATTTGTTACATAAAATGCAAGCATAACTGGTTTAATAATCATTTCAATTTATAAATTGTTTTCTAAACTATTTAAAATTGAGCAGAAACAAATCATAGAAATTTCTATCAGTGATGGATGTTAATGCCTAGTTTTATGTAATAAATTTATTCTTAGGGTAAAATCATGATAACTTAAGAAACTATTGCTTTTTCAACCCAAAAAGATTATTTGGACTTCCATAAACTACCAGAGATCTTCATTGCCCAACAAGAGTATATTCCTTGTTTTTACATACTACTGAAAAGATAGGCATTCCCTCCTCAGAGGTCACGATTTAGCAAAATAATAGATCAGTGCACAAAATCAAGGACATTACCTGTGAGTACCCAAAACACAAACAAAAATTCCAAAACTCACTGCCATTAAGTCAATTCCAACTCATAGTGACATCCACTGGGTTTCCAAGGCTGTAGATCTTTACAGAAGCACACTGCCTCATCTTTCTTCTGGAGAGCAGCTGGTGGGTTTGAAGTAAGGCTCCATTAAAAAACCATCTATACAAGACCAAAAGGTCAACAATTACTCGGGAGCAAACATGAGAAGACAAGGGAGGCAAGGAAACTAGAATACTGGAAATGAATCAACCAGATGCAATGAATAAGTATGTTGATACATTGTGAAAAATATAACTAGTATCACTGAAAAACTTGTGTAGAAATTGTCATGTGGGAACTTAATTTGCTGTGTAAGCTTTCACCTTAAGCACAATGAAATATTGGGGCAAAAAAAAAAAAAGATAGGCATTCTATTATGTGTGTATAAAAAAGCATCACATCTGCCAATTGCTCTGTGGTGCAATAGCATAGACTCATGTAACCCAACAACAAATATTCTCTTTGAACAGTGCATTTTGAGTGTGTGTATTAGATAATCTGATGTTTAACGTGGAAGCTCTGGTAGCACAGTGTCTAAGGCATTTGACTGCTAACCAGAAGGCTGGTGGTTCAAACCCACCAACGCACTCCTTGGAAGAACTGGGCTATCTACTTCCATAGTGATACTGCCTTGGAAACCCAAGGAGGGGTTGCTATGAGTCAGATCTGACTCAATGCTTAATGTGGTATATTTTTGTTTATTAAATGTTTGATTATAATATCTATTTTCATGCTGACACAGAAGGAAAAAAACAAAAAGAAAAATTGAAAGTAACTGAGAATAAATCTCAACATACAGTCATTTCTCGATGTAACCCTGAAACATCAAGTGTTCCTCCATCCAGAAGTTCTGAAACTCGAAGCATATCCCTGGCTTCTCATCTTATTCCACCTCAGGTAGATGCTTTTCCACTCATCTCTCTCTTTCCTTCAATCTTTATATCCCTTGTTTCAGTTGATAAAGAGAATTATTCTTTTATATCTGTTATTAAGATATTCATGTTTGTCAATAATACCCAAATCTAACATTATTATTTCATGCAGTTTAATAGAATCACCATAATCGTTAATGGAGCAGGGATACTCAGATTTGAGATTCTGTACCTGGGTAGAGTTTTTTCACCATTTTGGGAGAGAAAAAAATTCTTTTCCCTTAATATTTCTAGCCAGTTTGAAGATTATAAATGTTCTCCTTTCCTTCCACCAAAATGATAAAATAGTCAGTGAGTATATATGAGGTTCACTCAAAATTTATTCTGTTAAGTGCACTGAATTAGGTGCTTTGTGGAGGAATATAAATGAATAAAACAGTCCTTGACCTAGTAAAACAAAAATTATAATACAAGGTCAGATGTAGCACAGTCTGTGAGAGATGTGCAAAAGCGCACTGTGGGAGGGTAAGGGAGGTGATGATTAGTCTTAACTAGAGCTGGAGGTTTGTTTTTTTAGATTGGAGGTGAAATTTGAGCAGAAACGTGAAGAAATGAGCAGAACTTTCATGAGTGGGAGAAGTCCGGGTGGGTCATTTCAGGCCAAGCAAAGGCATGAAGGAAGGAAAGGTGGAGTGTGTTTGGTGAACAGTGCTTGGCCTAAGGAGTTAGAGGGTAGGACCCTGGCAATAGCAAGAGGTCTGGTGGGAAGAGCAGGAGATTTGGAATTGAGGCCAATGAGGAGTACTAGTTTGGGCATGGGAGCTCTGGTGGCATAGTACCTAAGGCATTTGACTGCTAACCAGAAGGCTGGCGGTTCAAACCCACCAGCCACTCCTCAGAAGGAAGATGGGGTAATCTACTTCTGTAGTGATACTGCCTCAGAAACCCAAGGAGGGGTCACTAGGAGTCGGGTCTGACTCGACGGCACATAACAACAACATTTTGAAGTAGTCAAAGCTTTCTAATGGTAATTGTAATAGGTCTTAATTTTTTCCTGTAGCATTTGTTTTTGCATACTTTCAATATGAGGGAAAATGTGATGTGTGGTTGCTACATCTATTCATCAAATAAAATAGGATTCTAGTTTCAGAAATTCTATTTCTCTGAATCTAAATAGTACTGGTCATACTGTGGAACTGAAGAGGGAATGAATAGCTGTTTAGCCCACATATTTTATATCATTTAATTCTCACAATAATTCCATGAAGGAAGTACCATTATCCCCATATTAAAGATGAGGAAATTAAAGCTCCAAGAAGAAAGTAATCTTTCCAAGATCACCAGCTAGATAGCAGTTAGAACTGTGATTCAGATTTAAGCTGTTTCAGTGTCATGCTTGGGTTATTTTCCAATACATCGTGCTGCTTTTAGAAAGATGATTTGGGGAAGTTGTGAAGGATAGAGCAGAGAAAAGAAGTCCAAGGCAAACAGATCAGTTAGGAGCTGAGATAGCTTCATCTTGTTGTTCCAGATCTTCTCTCCTTTCTTAACCCTGCGTTTGCTCTGGAGGCTGATCTACGTTGACTACGTCAGAAGGCTCCCTTGTCCTCCATACTCTGGTTGAATGTAGGAGCTCAGAGCATGGGAGAAGAATGAATCCTGGTTATAAATCCCCCTGTCCCCTACCTGCCAAGTCACAGTGGGTTGGTGCCACTTCTCTCCATGTAGCTACCCACTCCAAGTTCCAGGAACCTCTCCTAACTCTTGCCACTTCAGACATAAGCATGGTAATGATTCTCCACTTTGACAAGTCTTAGGGGACTAGGATATTCTTTTTTGTCTTCTTCCTCTGTCTTTATTAAATATAGTCCATTTATTAACTTTCCTCAAATTAGCCAGTTTGATCATGTCCACTTCTTTTCTCCTGATTCCTGACAGGCATCAGTAATTAAAATGGAATTGAGTGTTTTTTTTTTTTTTAATTTTACTTTTTCACTTTTCTCAGATTCATCGCTTCTCCAACAATTTTTATAGTGATTTAAATGGTGTGATGACAATTCAAGCTAAACCACTTCAACAGAGACCTACCTATTTTGCAGACAGAACACAGTATGTATAAGAAATAATTAACCAGTCTTTTCCCAATGCTGGAAAACATGAGGACTATAAGAGGCATAAATCTCATTTAATCCCATGCTAAAGAGGTGCCAAAGGATATCCTTGAGGAGGATGAATCTGTTGTGGAAGAATTAAAACATAATATCCTAGTTGTTGCTGTTGCTGTTGTTTGCCATCGAGTCGGCCCCAACTCATAGTGACCCCTCCTTGGGTTTCTGAGGCAGTATCACTACGGAAGTAGGATTGCCCAGCAAGTATAAAACCATTGTTATTATATATGAGGTTTGAGGTTCAGGGAGATGTGAAAAGGGGAATGTAGCTGGGAATCCTTAATTTGAGGGCTTTTGGTAGTTGATTGCAAACAATGAGAAACTTAGACTTTTTTTTCCCCTGTGAATGACTTCTAGATTGAAATTGAAATGATAGTCTATCCATTCACTCAATAGATACTTAAGAATATCTTCCATATGACAACACTGTTCTAAAATGTTCTTGTTGTTGTTAGGTGCTGTTGAGTCAATTCTGACTCATAGCGAGCCCATGGGACAGCATAGAACTGCCCTGTAGGGTTTTCTAGGCTCTAATAATCATGGAAGCTGCATCTTTCTCCCATGGAACTGCTGGGTGGGTTCAAACCTCCAGCCTTTCAGTTAGTGGCCAAGTGGTTTACTGGTGTACCACCAGGACTCCTTAGATGGTACCTAGTGATTGACCTAGTGATGGTACCTAGGAGCTCTGGTGGCATAGGGCCTAAGGCATTTGACTGCTAACTAGAAGGCTGGTGGTTCAAACCCACCAGTTGCTCCTCAGAAGGAAGGTTGGGCAATCTACTGCTGTAGTGATACCTCCTCAGAAACCCAAGGGGAGGTTGCTATGAGTCGGAGCCAACTCGACGGCAGTGAGTTTGGTTTTTCGGTTTTTAGTGATCAACACATAGATATATTTCCTGTTCTCATGGTGCTGACATCTGAGTAACTAACTTGATTTCCCTCCCACAGTAATGAACAAGAGGAGAAATCAACAGATATAGGGGCCAGTGTGCCTTCCTCAGCACGGCACCGACGTGCAAGAATCTTAGATGCTCGAGGACTACAGAACTCTGCCAAGAAAACACCCATGCACAGGAGACTGCCTTCTCTCACTTCAGATTCACAGAGAATTAAAACTCCCAATGTGTACAGCGATGAAGTTCTTAGGGGAACAAAATTGTAAGTCTTCTTTCTCTCATGGTAAACTAAAAATTACATAAGGCAGGGTCTATGGATTTTTATAACCCAAATATCTCTAACTAATGTTATATAGACCCTTTTTCTAATGAATTGATTTGGGTATTGAATAATAATTTTATTTCAGTTAGTATACTTAGCTGTGTGCTAGACTATGGGGTCAGGCAGTGTACCTGCATTGGTTTCCTAAGGTTGTTATAATAAGTTACCCCAAATTGAGTGATATAAAACAACAGAAATTTATTGTTTGACAGTTCTGTAGGCTAGAGATGAAGTCAAGGTGTCGGTAGTGCCCTATTCCCTCCAAAGGCTCTAGGGAAGACTCCTTCCTTACCTCTTACAGCTTCTGGTAGCTGTTGGCAATCTTTGGCATTTCATGACTACAGATGCATCACTCCAGTCTCTACCTCTGTCATCATAAGGTGTTCTGTTTGTTTGTGTCACCATTTCTCTTATTAGGACAGCAGTCATTTGATTTAGGGCCCACTCTAATCTAGTAGGAGCTCATCTTAACTAATTATACTTATTTCCAAACAAGGTTACATTTACAGGTATTGGGGGTTAGAACTTTAGCATATCTTTCAGGGAACACAGTTCACCTCCAATAGTATCTATAGCCCAGGCAGCTAGGCTGTTGGGACTCTAATGGCGGAGTGAACTTGGATAGGTCACTTAAACATTCTGAGACTTAATTACCTCATTTGTAAAAGTAATAACTAATTAAAACTTTTAAATACATAAGGAATTAAAAAAAAAAAAAACTTATTGCCATCGAGTTGATTCCAACTCATAGCAACCCCTGTTGGGTTTCCAAAGCTGTAAATGTTTACAGAAGCAGACTGCCCCATCTTTCTTCCATGGAACAGCTGGGGTTCAAACCATTGACCATTTGGTTAGCAGCCAAATACCTTAACTCCCACACCAACATACTATTAATACATGTTTACATAAAATAATTATAGAAAATGCTTGTAAAAAAGGGGGAGGGGGATATATACCTATTGTTGTTGTTGTTGTTGTTATGTGCCATGGAGTCGGACCCAACTTATAGTGACTCCTCCTTGGGTTTCCGAGGCAGTACCACTATGGAAGTAGATTGCCCCATCTTCATTAGGTATTAGTTATTAAGTATATCTAAGCATTTGCATTTTATGTAGGAAGTTCCAGAAAACTTGACTTTATAGTTGTTGTTGTTGTTGTTGTTATGTGCCGTCAAGTTAGCCCCGACTCATAGCGACCCCTTCTTGGGTTTCCGAGGCAGTATCACTACGGAAGTAGGATTGCCCAACCTTCCTTCCGAGGAGTGGCTGGTGGGTTTGTTAGCAGGCAAGTGTCTTAGCCACTATGCTACCAGAGCTCCCATTTATAGACCATTGCCTAATTCAAAAAGAGTTTGTCTCATCTTTCACTATAGAATCATGAAAGAATCTTTTAGTTTTCTAATTCAAGTATCAGGCGATACTAATGTTAGTAATAGCAGCTCATGTTTACTGATTGTTTTCTATGTTACCAGCAGAGTACTAAGTGACTTATATTTATTATTGTATTTATTCTCCACCACAAACCTTCTGAGTTGATACTGATATTACCCCAAATTAAAGATGAGGAAGTGGAAGCTGAAGGAGGTTGAAGAATGTATCAAAACTCATTCCACTAGTGAGCGGCCAGGTTGGAACTCTCAGTGTTCTCCAGCTACAGAATTTACCCCGTTGACCAAGCCATGTGGCTTTCTGCAGCAAGAGAGTGGAGTTATTGGAGAGGCTGGGCTTATGTCCCCTGATGGAGTAGGTCAAACAGTAATTGGACTTTTCTTAATGCACTCGTAGCACCACTTTCACCTTTTTGTTAGGGACATGGTTGTTTATTTGTTTCCCGTAGTTTAGGACTAATATTAACAGCTATATTGGAGTCTGTTCTGTTCATTTTTGCAGATTCTCTCTCTGTAATTATTATTGTGACCAATCTAGGAAGGGCATTTTCACCTTCTCCCCATGTCCTTGCTATTGGCTCTCTCCTCTTTCTCCCAGCCTACTTGGACTCCAGTATCAGATTTTCACCAATCTTTCTATTTCCTACTGAAACAAATTCAGACTCCTCCAACCGTATTTTCCCTGCATGTTTTGGTCCCTCCCTCATGGTAGACTGGTATTGCTCAACCTCTTTTTTCCATTATTGCCATGAGAAGAGACTTGCTGAACTTTTTTTGTAATTATTCCTCCACTTATGGAATTTTAGTACCCCAGATATACTGTATATTTGTACTTACATTTACGTAGAAAGAGAAAGATATTTTTATTTCCATCTGAAGAACTAATTTTACCCTCTTGGGGGAGATATCACCCCTTTTGATTATGTATCACCCATCTGTACTTGATCAGCCTTATATTCCCTCTGACCCCCAAAATATTCCAGCTGTTGCTTACTTTCATGATTTTCTTCATGTCCTGCCTTTCACTTTTTTAGAGATGACATTATTATTTTTTTTCTAATTATCAAATAACTGTGAGATCACTAGAGTCCCTGGATGCAGCACATGGCTAATGCATTTGGCTGGGGGTTGCATCTGCCCAGAGATGCCTGGGGAGAAAGGCCTGACAATCTACTCCCAGAACATAAGCCACCAAAAATCCTCTAGAGCACAGTTCTGCTCTGACACCTGCGATGCTGCCATGAGTTGGAGATAACTAGATGGAGACTAGTACTGGATGAGTTTACTGTGGAACATTAGGACAATACCAAAATATGAGTGGAAATCAAAAACCATCTGTGTGCCCATCACATAAAAATAGCAAATGTATATCAATTGTTGATAGATTTCTTACCAATTGTCCCTATGATAACATTTTTTCTTTTGTTTCTATTGTCTTGCTTGTACCATTAACATTATCTTTCTCTTGTGTGGTATAGCACTTTGTCATATAGTTTTTTCCTTTATCATGATATATTTAACATATTCATATTTTCCATGTAATTAAATATTTCTGAAAACACACTCTTAATGACTACAAAATAATCACATAAATATAATGATAATTTATTAGGCAGTCCCTTATTACTGAAATTTTCTGTTTTTTCCATCTTTTCACTATTATAATGTGCAGTGAAAATCATTGTATATGAATCTTAATAAGGATATGATTAAATTGTTTTCTGGTGGTGCAGTCCTACAAGTAAAGCTATCAGGTCAAAATTATGAATACTTTTAAGGCTCTTGACCTCCTCAGCAAATTGTTTCCCAGAGTAGTATGCTAATTTATAATCCCACTGAGAATACATGAGTATCTCTTTATTTGTAGCCTCTAAATTTTAGATATATATTTCAAAATGTTGATAGTTTTATAGGTCAAATTATCATATTTTAGCTTTCCCATATTAATTATTAATGAATAAAAGAATTAGTAGCATAGTGCCTAAAGCACTTGACTGCTAACCAGAACTCTGGCAGTTCAAACCCACCAGCCACTCCTTGGAAGGAAGGTTGGGCAATCTACTTCCGTAGTGATACTGCCTCAGAAGCCCAAGGAGCGGTCACTATGAGTTGGGTCCAACTCGATGGCAATCAACAACAAAAAGAATTAGAAACTGTTTTCAGAATCTCTCTCTCTACTCTTATGCAAGAACGAGACACTTTAATTTTTGTACCTTAATATATGGTAGAAGATGTCTCCTTTCATTACTTCTCTTTTAATAAAATTTACTCACCCATCCTGACCAATAAACTTTAAAATCAATTTTGTCATATTCCCCGCCCCCCCCTAAAAAAAACCTCATCAGGCCTCATTAGTTTCATAACATTATTCTATAAAACAATGTAGGAAAAATTGACAGCTTCACCACATTCAATAATCTCATCAAAGAATATCATTTTCCTCTATTATTTTTATCCTCATTATATCCTTTCTAAAGTTTTGTATATTTCTCATCTAGTCTCTGCACATTACTAATTTTATTACTAACCAGCAGGCTGGTGGTTCAAAACCACCAGTTACTCCTCAGAAGGAAGGTTGGGCAATATACTTCCATAGTGATACCACCTCAGAAACCCAAGGAGTCGTCACTATGAGTCAGGCTGACTCAATGGCAGTGAGTTTGGTTTTATATACTATATTACACCTTCACTTGCAATTCCCTTCCATTTTCCCTCCCTCCATCTCCATGAGTCCTTCCTTATAATTTTTGTATCCCTCATTGATTGCACCATTCTCTAAGTTTCTACCAAACATTGAAAACAAAACTCACTGCTGTCAAGTTGGTTCAGACTCATAGCGACCTCTTCTTGGATTACCAAGGCAGTATCTCTATGGAAGTACATTGCCCACTCTTCCTTCTGAGGAGTGGCTAGTGGGTTTGAACTGCCAGCCTTCTGGTTAACAGTCAAATGCCTTAGGCACTATGCCACCAGAGTTTACATTTAGAGCCTATACCATAGCATTATATTAAATACTCTGTTGCATTGTTGTCTAGTTACTTCATATGCTTTAACCTTGTTTTCAGTAACTCATAAGCTCCTTAAGAACAAGAACAAGAACATCAGTTATTTTTGTGTTCCATACTGTTCTGAGCATAGTTGAACATTCAGTAAATCCAGATTGACAGTCACTGCTCAAAAAGGAGAATAGGACCAGGGCTGGTGATCCCTCCTCACATTTGTCTTCCTGAAATTTAGCTCCTCCTTCTACTTGAGCCTTCTTTTTGGAAGGTGGATTGAGGTTAATCACCTAGATCAGGAGCTTTGAGACAGGGTGTATCTCTCTGCACCTGGGTGCTCAGTTACATGCTATTGTGTTTACAGGCAGACTGGCACAGATAACTTGTCCTCCCCGGTCCAAACCTCACGGAGCAGGTTACCTCCAATAGGCTCAGAGACTGGTGAGCAGAATGCAGCAGTTCCTGGATCCCTCCCTGTTTCTGTAAGACAGATTTCATTATACTTAAGGGTGCCGTTTAAGTAGTCATCTGGGAAACAAGCATGCAAGATAATGTTGGCATGTTGTTGTTGTTGTTGTTGTTATTTGCCGTCGAGTCGGCCCCGACTCATAGCGACCCCTCCTTGGGTTTCCGAGGCAGTATCACTCAGAAGTAGATTGCCCAACCTTCCTTCCGAGGAGTGGCTGGTGGATTTGAACCGCCAGCCTTCTGGTTAGCAGTCAAGTGCCTTAGCCACTATGCTACCAGAGCTCCCAATGTTGGCATAGACAAATGAAATCAGTAAAGTAGAATGATCTGATTAGATATATTCAAAATGCCATCATAATCTGCCTCTTATAAGGAAATGGCTTGGGTGAATTTAGAAGGTAGGAGGATTAATGCACTATTTTGTGATATAAAAACATGACTTGAACTAAATTGGAAAGTCCACATGTCAGGACAGTGTAGTAAAGAAAAGAGCATGGCTTAGGTCAGGAAACAGGCAGATTTGTGTTTGAATTCTCTCTATGATTTGGTAGAAGTTACTTCAGTCGCTGAGCCTAATTTTTCACATCTGAAAAAAAGGAAATCATGATTTTTACCTCAAAGAAGTATTATTTATATATATTTAATGAACCAATAGATAGTAAATAATTCCTGGCATAAATCAAGAGTTCAATAAATTACTCTTGCGATTTTTATTAGGTTGTATACTTAAAGACAACCTGCCAGGTTGATTGCAATGTAGAGGCAATATCTTCTTCACCCAAACTTCACTCAATCTGACAATCTCAAATGGTCTGGGGAAAGTACAGTGCTGATAGTAGCTGTAACCATGTTTCCCCAGATTTGCAATGATATCTCACTTCACTGTGATACAGATATCCTGAGTGTATCTTCTAAAAAAGGGAAGACATCAATTAGGGGGAAATAAAGGCCTGGAGGGAATACCCTCTAGCAGGTAAAGTTTTGTCTCTCATTCTGTTTGCCACTGATGAGCACTCCCTGGAAGAACCCATTTCCAGAAAGCAAGAGCTGTAAAGTATTAATGTTAAATGTTAGAATGTTTCAGCTTTGAGTGAAATAATACAAGGTCAACATCTCATAAAAAGAGGCTGATGCTTCACAAGTGCAGGGTTACATTTCTGTTACAACTCTATATTGAGAATTTCATTGAACTTCGATTTTTTTTATCTGCCTTTTTGTTGAGTTCAATACTGCAGTTATGTAATTAAAATATATTCATATATTCATCCTTAGTAAGTCTCATACTTAGCAGTATCTAAATAATTATTTTCAAATAAGTGAGTGAATGAATGAGTAAAGCATATGTAGAATTTTTGTGAGTCTTTTTAAGAATTGCATTTATTTTAAAGATGAATGTGTTGTCCTTCATTTAGTACAGAGGGAGGAATCCACAAAATCGTGTGTTAAGTGCAATACCTGACACTGTAGATCGATCACCTCTCCGAGAAAGAACTCTTACCATGGACCAGTTTTCAAGGCCCAGCACAACCCATACATTCCAAGTAGGTTCTCTGTTACCTTATAAATTAGATATTAGAAAATATTTAAAGAAATAAAAATAAAAGTCATTCCATCATTTTATTTTTGTTTCAACAGTCAGATACACCTCAGAAAAGTTCATTGACACCAGTGGAATTTGCTGGCCACACGTGGACAGGTCAAAGTTTTCTGACAGGTCAGCATTTCTTTGTATGTAAATAAAATTATGCGATTTCTGAGATTTCAAGTTTATGGGAGAGAAATTGAAGGTTATCTGTTGGAAGAGAAACTGAAGATTAGTTATCTGTCTTGATAGGCCTATTTTGATCACATAAGGTGATGTGGCAAGAATTATGTCCATGACTAGACTTTAGAAACCTCTACAAAGAGCAAAACTGCATTGACAAGCACTTACCTACTGTTGGGTCACAAAGGGGAAAATGCCTGCATTCTCTTAACCTAGAGGCCCACTCTCCTAAAAATGGGGAAATGCTCTCTTATGGGAAGTCACTCTTTCTTTCCTCTATACAGTTTACTTCCTTTTTTGCTAAAGAAATTCTAATCTTAGATTCTCTTCAAAAATCTTCTCATAAAAATGCATGAGAACATTACTAGGAATCTGCTGATTATTGTATAAGATAGGTTTACAGAGAAATACTTGTTCTCAGCCTAGTGTGCTATTTGAAAAGTAAAGTTTTCGTTTGAATCCAGAGCAATAATGTTTCAAATTTCAAAATAGCTACCAACATTTTTTTTTTCAAGGAGGCAACATAGCATCAACGAAAGGTGTGCAGCTCTGGAGTCAGGTGCTTGGTTATAATCCTGCCTCTATGACTTATAAGCTGTGGAATCTTAGGAATACCTTATTCTCTCTGTGCCCCAGTTTCTTCTTTGATGATAGGCTGTGTGTGTAAAATAATATATATGGAAAGGATCTATCTAACTTAGTACCAACCATATTGTTATTTTCTATCAAGTCAGTTCTGACCCATCATGATGCCATGTCCATAGCTCCATAGGGGTTTCAATGGCTGTGACTTTTCTGAAGTAGATCAGGATGACTTTAGGTAGATTTGAACCACCAATCTTCTGGCTAGTGGTCAAGCACTTAACCATTTGTACTACCCAAGAAGTAACAATCATACATTATATAAAAATTATGAATCACTTGTATTTTAGATAAATGGAAATTTAAAGGATATTTACTGTTTTAATTGAAATTTTAAAATATGATCATTGAAAAAGAAGTTTAATAAAATTTAAACATTCTGAAAACTCAGGTTTATCTTTTTTTTTTACATCATTCCTCATCTTATTCTGTAGTATAGTGATCTGGAGAATTATTTAGCCCTTCCCTTTAGGCTAATAACTCCAGAATGCTATGCCTTTTATTGTTTTTTTACATGTATGTTACCTGGCAGTGTTAGCAGACATGTCTGTGACAACAGTTCTTTCTGTAAAAGTTAGCAATGCTACATTATCAAGTATGGCTCTTAACATAACTGTTGATTGAGAGTCAGGGGTTAGGCAGCCAAGTTTGTTTATTATTTAGTTTTTCTGTGTTAAGTGCTTGTTCTATATTAGGTTCTGTTCTATATTCTGGGATTCAAGAACCAAGGATATTCAGTCTGATGGAGAAGATTGAAAAGGGCTATGGGAGTTGTTGTTTGTTGTTGTTGTTATGTGCCATCGAGTCGGACCCGACTCATAGCAACCCCTCCTTGGGTTTCCGAGGCAGTATCACTATGGAAGTATATTGCCACATCTTTCTTCCGAGGAGTGGCTGGTGGGTTTGAATCGCCAGCCTTCTGGTTAGCAGTCAAATGCCTTAGACACTATGCTACCAGAGCTCCCATGGGAGTAGTTAACAGGAATTCAATATGCAGATGACAAAATGGGTAGAGAGGTTTCCTGGAGGAGGCTTCAACCACAGAATTAGGAAGAACATCACATGGGATATGAGAGAGAAAAAAGGCTGACAAATGTAGTTCTGTAGATGGTTAATTGGTGGTACTAAAAGGGAAGCTGAGGAATTTTGATGAATTTGGTCTTGGAGGAATTCAGCATGCCAGGTGAAGATATCTAGTAGGTGGTTGGACTCACAGATAATAGAAGTTTGGAGAGGGAGCTAGACTCTTAATTGTGTTAAATCTGCTATCCTAGTTTTTCACCAAAGACCACTCTCATAACCCTATTCAGTCTTCTCCACCAGACCAAAATATACATTCAGGAGAAGATCATACCTTCCTTGGTCCTTGAATCCCAGTCAATGCATTCTCTTAATTACTTTGTGGCAACTATTACTCTTGGTGGTCAGAGGGCTTTTTTCATTTCTATAGAAGTGACCCAGGGGACACATGGGACACTTCTGGTGTTTCTAAGGTTTTATCATCTTTTCCTCTCACAAGCAGATGTGTCTCCTTTCCTACCTTTACTTATAGGTCAAAAGTGCCAGAAGCTACTACCATATATACATGTGTGTTGTGGCTAGGAAAAACAATGAAGAAGCTTAGAGAGTATTCCTAACAGTGAGAGGATCTCTTAAGACAGTGTCATTGCTCCTGCCTCTGTGAAGTGGCAGAGCTTGCAGATCTCTCTTGCTCACCATCCTGGACCTCTGGGTAAAAGGTCCTTGCAAATCCATCAGCTCTGAAGGAATACACGACCAGCATGTAGGCTTGGGGGTAGGGAACCCTTCTTCCTTCTCTGGACCCATAATGACAATGTTAACATATGATCATTGTAAAAGTGTTGTGTAAAAGTGTCATTAAAATAGATTGATTTTTCTATTTAAATGTATTTACTTTCTATTGGTTCATTTTATATATATATATATATATAAATGGAAGTTTTGAGTTACTGCATTTTTAGCTTTTCAATGAGAATTGCTTTTTGGTTGGTGTTTTAGGTTCACAGTATCCACCTAAATCATTTCAGAGGACAGCTTTGACTTCAAGAAAAAGATTCCAAGTGGCATCTTGATATTACTTCACCAGAATGCTGAGCTATAACATTGATTGGCACATTCAAAGCAGCAACCACCATTTATCACTTGAAAAATGAGAGATCAAGTATTATTATCCTATGTGTCTGTGACTGACAATCTGAGATTTAGACTAAAGCTACTTGAGAAAAATGTAAATAAACAACTTTGTTTTGAACCACAGCAGAGTACAGAAGCTTTGCACTGTAAACAGAGTATAAGTCAAAACATCTGCCTTCTTCTTACATCCCTGAGGTTCTTCCAGTTTTGCTCAGAAGATGCTAGATGTTAATATGTACATGTTCATAAGCTATCATTTCACCAATTATACATCCATACATAATTCATGTGTATAAGTAGCTCTAGTGGCTCAGTGCCTAAGGCACTTAGCTACTAATCAGAAATCTGGCAGTTCAAACCCACCAGCCACTCCTTGGAAGGAAGGTCGGGCAATCTACTTCCATAGAGGTGCCACCTCAGAAACCCAGGGAGGGGCATTATGAGTTGAATCCAACTCAATGGCAGTGAGTTTTTTTTTTAATGCACTTACACACTAAATAATGTATAAGAGGCTATTATCTAGAACTATATCATTTTTGTAACTTTCTGCTCAATATGTTTTTTCATCTTTCTATTAATAACTCCATCAAAATCCTACTCCTTAAGAGGTATTACTTCCTTTAAAAAATTGCACAAATTGTTGATATCGTATGTCAGTTTGAATGAGGTTTCAGATTATTCTAATCTAATTGTTACTCTGATGGACATATACTCTTTTTTGAACAGTGCTTTAGTCATGAACCTCTGAGAAATGTCAGTGGCTAATTCTGCTAAGCTGATTTTATCCTTTTCGTTTTCATTTTCAAATTCTAGCAGTCCATTTTAAATTATCCCCAACTTGTTGATATTTCAAACTGAATATAAACATTTGAAGTAAAAAGTACTGCATATGGTCACATGCTTACTCTGACAACTGAAGAGGCCACCCATTAGAGGGGACGCTTTGCAGCAGCACCTCCTGACTTTCTCCCAGTTTGCTCTTTGCTCCAGTGTCTCCTCAGCAGTAAAGTGTCCCAGACCCCTCCATGTAAGCTAACAGCTCTCTTCCCTCTCCACCCTTTTGCCCTACTTTATTTTTCTTCATAGCATGTATCCTTATCTGACATTAATGTAGAAAATGGAGTAGAGAATGTGGAGGAAAATTTATCAGTTGGCGGCAAAGTTCCAGGTCATGCTTCCATCCTCAACTGTTTTCGTCATAGTGTTAAAATCATTAGACTCATTTTGGTGTTCTCAGATCACTGAGTCAGCATAATTTCTTCTTTTCTATCAGATAAATTATTATATCTACCTATCCAATTTTTTATTGATCCAAAATGAAAATTTATATAAGTATGCCTTATAAATATATAATAGACTATTTTCAGTGGCATTGTAGGTAAGACATTTGACTGGTAGCCACAAGTTGGCAGTTCAAAACCACCAGTTTCTCCATGGGAGGAAGATGGGACAATCTACTTCTGTAAAGATTTATAGCCTTGGAATCCCAGTGGGGGGTTGCTATGAGTCAGAATCGACTCAATAGCAGTGGGTTTCTGGTTGTAAGAAAAGGGATCATTGACTACTTACATCTGGGCATTTGAAAGTGTATGGGGACTAGAGGAGCTCTGGTAGCACAGTGCCTAAGGCACTTGACTGCTAACCAGAAGGCTGATGGTTCAAACCCACCAGCCACTCCTTGGAAGAAAGGTTGGTCAGTCTACTTCCATAGTGATACCACCTTGTAAGCCCAAGGAGGGGTCGCTATGAGTCGGGCTCAACATGACAGCACACAACAACAACATGAGGGCTAGAAATTTTGTTGCTCTTCAGAAAGACAAAACAAAAATGAGCCTAGAGTCTTGCCTCTGATTGATAATTTCTTCTTTACATTTTCTACTCCATTTCTATATTAATGAAACATTTTAGAGAATGAGAATGACAGTGATCAACATGCCCATACCTTTTTTGTTTTTTCACAGCCCCATAACACTAGGGGATATTTCTGGTGCTTAGTTCCTCACACAATACAGACCAAAATATTTTGGGAATTTTCTAAATTACAGCAATGGAAACTTTTAAAAAGAAAAGTCCACTTTAATTTAGCAGTTATCAAACTTAGGGGGAACTCTTGCCATATAAGCTGTCTGGAACCCCTACTCTTAAAGGTCATGGGTAAGGGCTTTCTAGTCCATAATTTCTGCTAAATGTGTCCTTTCTGTCCACCCAGCACTTTCAGAGTGGTTTAGAGTATTTATATATAATTTGAAGGGCCCATTCCGATCCTTCCCTCATCAGTCCAGACTGCTTAGAAGGGACGATAACTGACACACAGTTTAAACTAACATGAAGTTACAATATCCAAGATAAATGATTTTTCCTTAGAGGACCATTCAATACATTTTATGATAGCTTTACCTTGTTTGACTTAAGAGTTTTGCAAATAAAACCTATCATTATATATATAGTTAAAATGATACTTTGAAAAACAGAACCAAATACAATGATCTTGAATCAAATCTTCTAAACATCTTTGATTGGGATACAAAGTTCCATCATATAGAGTTCATAAGGCTCTGCTACTAGCTTTAAAAATGACATCCTTATGGTATATATTTGGACATCTGTATTACAGATGATAATTAATGTTTAGGTTGAGATGGTGCTTTTAAAACTGATTAAGTAAAAATTAGGGCAGTGTTTTTATAATAATCTATTTTGACAAATGAATCTGATCTGAGATTTTTCTGTAAAAATTTGGAAAAATAGCATTCAATATTTTCAAATCACTTTTAAATTCAAGTTAGTGACTACATTAATTAGAATGTTTGTTATTTTATCCAAACTAGGAATGAAGGAACTTAAAATTAATTTGGCTAAGAAAATACAAAATACTATAGGTAACTGCTAGATTTTGTAAATGTAATATAAAAGGAAATATCCATGTTGATGTTAGTCTGAACTAGAATGGGACTGCTATACAATTAAAGTGTACATTTTACAATATAATGAATCTTTTGGGTATTATATTTTTTATTGTCAGTGTTTTTTGTTATGCCTACTATCATTGTTCAGGTTTTTAAATTGTATTATTTTTGTAAAATGTAAGTATTGAAAGAGTTTTCAAAAATTAAACATATTTGTAGAAACTTCCTCAGATTACTAATTTTTATATGATTTGTTCATCTATCTCTCTACTCTTCAGTGTCTAATTTACAAGTTATTCATTCATTTATTTCTAACTTGAGCAAAGTCTCCCCAAAAAGATGAATTTAAACCATGTAGATATCAGAAGGAAATCCCTCTAGGCAAAGGAAAAAAATACACAGGTCCACAATAAGCACATACTTGGAAGGTTTGAAAAACGACAAAGATGCCAGAGGGACATGGAATGGAATTATCAGGAGGATGGATAATAGGAGATTAGGTGAGCAAGATAACAGGATCCAAGGAATTCAGGTTCTTAATGGCCTTCTGGGAAAAAGTAATTAATCTGAAATAGGAAGCCATTGGAGAGTTTAGAAATGATGTTATCTGACAAGAGCTGATCCTATTTCACATCAAATGGTAGTGGTACAGGTAGTGAGAAGTTAAGAGATCTGAGGTATGTTTTCAAATTAGAGTCAACAGGATTTGCTGTTGGATTAGATATAGATCATGAAGAAAGGAAATGTCATCAATGACTCCAAGTCTTTTGGCCTAAAACCATTGGAAAGTTGGAGTTGAACTTTACTGAATTTGGGAAGGCTACATGAGGAGCAAGTTTGGGGACGTATTGGGACATGTTACATTTGAGATGCCAATTAGATGCCTGAGGACAGTGATGATTTAGTAGTAGAATTCTCTCCTTCCATGTGGAAGACCTGGTTCAATTCCTGGCCACTGCATCTCATATGCAGCCACCAACCATCTGTCTCTGGAGGCTTGAGTGCTGCTAGGATGCTGAATAAATTTCAGTGGAGCTTCCAGAGTAAGGTGTATTAGGAAGGAAGGCCTGGCATTCTACTTCCAAAAAATCAGCCCGTGAAAGCCCTATGGATCACAACAGTCCAATAGTTCATTGTGCATGAGGCACCTTGATCAGGGAGAAACTTGACAGAAACAAAATCATATACCTAAGTGAAACTTTGAGGTATTTGGCTATCTATATGAACTTAATGTTCAGAGAAGAGATGTAGACTGGAGACATAAAATTGGGAATTATCCAGCATAAAGACAGTATTTAAGTCATGAGATAGATTTTTTCACCAAAAAAATTTTAAAAATTGGGGGAAAAAAAGTTCTGATTCTGAGCATTCTAGCATCTAGAGGTTTGAGATGTGAAGAAAAACAAGTATAGCAGACAAAGAAAGAATGTAAGGTAAAGGAAAAGGAAAATCAAGAGAGTGTGGGATTCTCAAATTAAATGAAGCAAAAAATATTCCAAGGAAGTAATTGTGACTTGCAATGTTGAATGCATTAACAGGTCAGTTTTGGTAAGGCCTGAGATTTGACCTAAAGACTTAGTCACATAGACTTCATTGATGGCCTTTTCAAGATTTTTTTCAGTGGAAGGAAAAGACAAATGACCCAATGCAATGTATTCAGGAAAGAATGAAAGGAGGACAATTGAAGACAGCAAGTGTAGACAAATATTTTAGGGAACTTTTCTGGAATGAGGAGCAGAGAAGTGGATCCAGAGGGAGATGTGATTCAAGAATAGATTTCAGAAGGCAGAAATTGCAACATGTTATATACTGCTGGGGATGATAAATGAGTGTGGAAAAACTGATAATACAGGAGAGGGAAAAGTTGCTGGAATAATGTCCTTTGGAGAGTCTAAGTGGATGTAATGATTTGAGATAGGAGGATATTTAGTTGAAAAACAATCTTGAATCCTTTACAAGTCTTTTTACCTAAAAATGTGATAATTATTTGTTCTAACAATTGGGGGAGCAAAGAAAGTTTATACCCCACTTCA